AGGACTCACTGCAGAGGTTCTGGTAACGTCCCCTTCCCCTGTCCCCTACAGGTCATAACTCAAGATTCTGGTTGTAAGTTAAAAGTAAAATTCTAGGGCCGGGGATTTAGCTCAGTGGTTTCGCTGCCTGCTGCACAAGCACAAGGACCCGAGTTCAATCCCCAATACCAAAAAAAAAAAAAGTAAAATTCTGGTCATGACCCAAGTTGTTCGTATGTCAGGCCAGTCGTAACTCAAGAGTCCACTGTAGGTGTCATGACAGCGACTAGGAAGTAGTAATTACAGAAGTAGGAGAAGTATTATTCTCCTCTCTGGAGGGAAGGGCACAATATGAGGGGACTACAGGCTTGGCTACTGGGCCCAAAGTAACAAAAACAGACACATACAATGGAGGGAGGGAAAATCGCCATGCCCTCCTGCCTTTGACCTCTTGGTCAGCATCCCAGACTGCTATTGACTGAACCGTGTTCCCCCAAATTCCTATCTTGAAGGCCCAGCGCCCTCCCTCCACATAAATTTATCTGGAGCTAGGTCTGTAAGACACAGTTAAGGCTAACTGAGACCACAAGGATGGAGCCCTAGTCTGACAGGCCTCACTCTGGTTCGCTCACCGCGCACACAAGAAGGCAGCCGACTCCAAGCCAGAAGAGAGCCCTCACCAGCACTGTGAGAAAACTACTTGCTTTTGTTTAAAACACTCAGTCTATATATCATTTTATTACGGAAGCCCCGGCGGAGGCAGACTGGTTGGTGCAAGGACATGGAAGGACAACATTTGCTCATTGGCAGAGAGCCTGCACTGATTGCACTCTCTGCAAGGCTCCCTGCTCCTTTCCCTGTGGCCCCCACACTTCGGAGGGGCCCAGCTGAGCCTGCCTGAGGATTTGCTCCTCCCTTCCTTAAAAGTAGGCTTAAGTGTGTCCATTATCACCACAGGATTCCCTGCCGGGAGCCAGCCAGACGGTGGTGAGATCTGAGGTCTGTGTTTGTTTTTATCTTGTTTACTTTTTCTTTTATCTCAGCCTTTATGAAGATAATGTGTACCCACCTGTGGTAAAAATCAGGACATACAGGAGTTTATAATGAAAAGCAGCGGTGTCTCCAGGCTCATCCTTTCCTCCCCTAGGTCCCCCCCTGGAGGGGTCCCTTTTTAACTCCCAACTTCTGTGTTCCTGGCCTTATCTGGGGAACTTTAGGTGATGTACCATATTACTAGCTCCTGACTTTTGGATTTTAGCCAAGAGCCATCGACTTCCCGCTGTGAGCCGTGAACATTTAGCTCTGTTCTTTTCCTTTCCCCTCTGCCTCTCTAAGTTTGAAAATACTTGTTTTGATTTTGTCCAATGCCTTTTAGCTCTAGCACATGAAAACCTTGATTGTACGTTGTGTGAGCTCCTGACAGCGTCGCTGTGTAACGAGGATACTTGTACATCCACCCCTTCCCCCGAAAGCTCTCCCTTCTCTCTGACAAACACAAAGTTGTTAATGTTTATAATCTGACCCTGAACTTCAACTAAGCCCTCTCTCCTTTATCCCTTGCTTGATTCTCAAAGTTGAAAGGAATGAGTGATGCTGATATTTTTATCCCCATGTAAAGATGTTTTTGCTGTTGTATCATGTCATGTACTCAGAATATTCACTTCGCATCCAAAGTGTAGCAACTGTGGAGACAGTTTCTAACATCCGGGGCAAAGAGATTCTCTCTTCTTATATCGTATGAATACCTTAAAATCATGCCACACTTAATCTCATTTGAGTTTAGGTTATAATTTTCTTATCTAATTGTTTATTTCTACTGGTGTTTTTATTTTGGTGGGGTGGGGGGGTACCGGGGATAGAACTCTGGACCTTGTCCTTTCAAGCTAGGTGGTGGAACCACTGAGCTAAATCCCCAGCCCTTTATTTTGTTTATTTGCATTACACGCTCCATGGAATCTCCACCATATTGTGTTTCTATAGAATACCTATGCACCTCGGGAGCTTCCCTTTGTAGAATCTTTATTCCTCTTGTTCCAGTTTTAATTGCTTGGTCTGATGGGTTTCCCAGGAAATAAGACTTTCAGTCCTGAAAATGACAAGGCCCAGGCCAATTTGGATTAGCTGGACAGACCCATCCAGATCTGAGATGACACAGAAATCTTGGCGTTTTCCTTGATTCTTCTTCTAGCTTGGATTCAGTTTCCTGAATCTTCCTCTTTCTTCATTTATTCCCTGACTTCTCTTGAAAACATCTTCAAGCAGCTTTTAAAGAAAGTTTGTACACAGATATCAAATCACCACCTTCTCTAAAATTTTATTTGTCAATTATGTTATACCTCAATAAAGCTGGGAAAAAATTTTAAAGGGTGTGTTGGAGATAAATTGTATCCTTATGTGATGGTTAATTTTTTTTTTTTTTTAGATTTCCAAATGTTTTCGTTTTTTGAAAGGGACTTAGCTATGCATAGTTAAAAGGCTGGGGAGAGAAAGCAGACAGAAGGGGAAAAGGAGAGATGATTGTAAAGCAGGGGGACCATTGGTGTCCCTCCGAAACCGGAAGGGTGGGTGGCCTTCCTGTGGCAGTGAGCAGCTACCATCCTGAGGAGTAGTCTGCATAGAGGAGGCTGATAAAAGATATTTGGGCTACAGATCTGAGCTAAATCCCCAGCCCATGGGCCTCAAATCTTGAGTGATGTTAATCTTGACTGTCAACTTGATTGCCTTGAGATGCCTACGGGGTTAATAAAACACAGTTCTAGGTGTGTCTGGGTAGGTCATGGGTGTACAACCTTGGGAGCTATATCTGTTCCCAGCCATTTCCTGGTCTCTGGTTTCTCCATGGCTCTCTGCTTCCCAACTGCCACGAGGTGGGCAGCTTTCCTCTAACATACCCTTCCGCCATGATGATTCTGCCTTGGAGCCAGCCAACCATGGACTGAAACCTCTAAAATGTGAGCCAAAGTAGACTCTTCCTCTTTTAAGTTGTATATGTCCCGTATTTTGTCCCAGCAGTAGAAAAGTGACCAATACGCTTTACACATTGGGAAGCACTTCACCTAGGTATAGAATTGCAGACTGAAAATGATTTTCCCTTCTAACATGAAAGTGTGTTCCTTTTCCTTCTGCCATCCAGTGTGGCTCTTCTTTTTGTAAAGCACCTGTTTCTCTTTTCTCCTGTATTTCCTATCTGTTTCCTTTAGCTCTACATTTTGAGATCACTTATTTTCCAGTCCTTCTCTTGAACTTTTCATTTTAACAGGCCTGTTACTTTCAAGAGCTCCTTGGCTATTCTCCTATTTTTTTCCCCAAGAAAACTGAGTTCTTATTTTACAGATGGAATGTCTTCTCTAATCTCTCTAAGTATATAGGCTAGAGGTTTTAGATGCTGCCTCCTGTTCCATGAACTATTTCTGCTTCCCCTGGGCCCGCGTTTTTGTGTCCTCCTGGCTTTTCTCTTTTGCTAGTGATACTTCTCCAAAGCCTGGGTTCTTTCATGGCTCATTCATGTGTAAGAGAGGATGGGATGTTTCCTCTACCACCTCCTCCTATGTAGGTGGGGCAGGCTTTTTTTTTCTCTTTTGCAAATTGAACACTCAACCTTCAGACTGAGCTACATTCCTAGCCATTTAAAAAAAATTTTTAAATTTTGAGACAAGGTCTTGTTAAATTGTTGAATTGCCTATGTTGGGCTTAAACTTGTGATCCTCCTACCTCAGTCTCCCGGAATGCTAGATTACGGGCATCACCAAGGGTAGGCTTTATGGTAGAAGGAGCTACCCAAGTGCCCAGTCTCCACTTTAATACCAGGTGGGCAGGGCTTTGCTCTCGGGCATTGGCATCTGCCCAGGTGCCACAGTCATGTACTTGGTAGCCTTAGAGCCCCTGGCTTTAGCTTTCCTTGACAGTGGTTTCCTTAGCAAGGAACCCTGGAGGTGTGGTTGGGAGGGGACATTTACATCGCACGACACTGCTGTGCAGTCCTCACCATGGAAGCCCCACCCCAGGACCGGTGAGCTTGGCAGGAAGTAGACACTCGCCTCACTCAGGCAAGATTGGACATTTACACATATTTTGGGACTACGTGCCAGGCTCTGCATCACGTGTGCCTTATCTCATGTTTCTTGGTGTTATTACCACCATTCTGTAGTTTGAAACTAAGACATATAAAAATTAAGTCACTTGCGCCAAATTATATGGCCGGTGAAAAATGGAGACAGAACTATAACCCCTACAACCACTCTGCCCCCTCAGGGAGCTACGAAAGCTGCAGCCCTGCAGAAACCAGACAAGTAGCCGGAAACTTTCCTCACAGGCCCAAGCCTGGCTCCCTCAGTCCCCATCCACATTTGTTATAGGAAATTGTGAACACCAGGCTTCCTCTGGGAGCCCTGTTCGCTACCTGCCACACAGGTCCATAGGCTCAGGTTCATATGCTCTGCTCAGATCAAAGGAGGCTATTTATTTTGGTGAAAAGAAAGGAAGACTCATTCAAAGCTAGCTTGGAGGAGATGGAGGGCCCCATGTGCCTCAAATCACCTCCTCCCTGTGCTCAGGTGTGCATGGGTCTTCTGTAGCAAAGAACAGGGGCGAGGGGAGGGGAACATCACGGACACCTAACAGCTCAACTGTGCTCTATGTTGCTTCATTGCTCCCACCTGTCTTCAGCTCCTGTGAAAGGAAACCAGGCCCCCGCCCTCCTGGCCCCAGCATCTTCATATTCTGTCACTTCATGGGGCCGAGGAGAGGAAGGGGCTATTGGTTATGCGTTCAGTAGGAGGAAGTTTGGAGAAGTCAGTTACCTACCTAACTTTTAAAATTCAGTTTTGCCAGTGCTGGTTACAGCTCCACCTCCCTCCAGAGGGCCTGCCGGGGGCGGGGGGGACCACCTGGAGCTGCAGGCTGCTCTTTTCCCTCTTCCTTGATGAACCTTCCTGGGAGATCTCCTCCTGCTGCGACAGCTGTGGGAGAGGATAAAGCTCAGTCCCGGTGTGCGCCTGGCAGGCTCTGGAGACCTGGGCCTAAGGTAAGCTGCTCTGGGCTCCCTCGCCCAGGCTGTGGGTGAATCTGCCTGGTGAGAATTCAGAGCAATAGCTGCTGTGCTGTGAAGGCTTGCTGAGGCCGAGCATGAATAATTCTTCAAAACTCTCTCCCCATTCTTCTAAGGATGAAGCTGAGGCTCAGAGGTTAGGGAGCTGTTACTGGAATTTTAAGGCAAAAGTCTGAGCTCTGGGAGCTTTGATAGACCAGGCTTGGGCACTCAGCCCAATATCCCAACCAAAGAGACTAGCAATGGTAAAGGGCAGGGAAGGAGCTATAATTGGCACGGCCATGCCAGGAAGAACAGATCTGTCGGTGTGTGTAGGGGGGTGCTGACAGGACCTTTGAGGTGATATAGAAAAGGGGAACAGGGGCAGGGGTTGGGGTGTGCAGAGCTGTGGGATGGCACAGCTGCCAGTGTAGGTGATCAGGGCATAGACTGCTCCTCTGGCACCCTGGGAAAGCCATCAGGACTGGCAGGGGTGACTAAGTTCCCGTCATGGGAAGAGGACTTCCGGGGAGGGGGCCGCCTCAGACCCCTGTCATGACATAACTGCTCCAATCTCATCATATGATTTCTTTGAGGCTTAGAGAGACTCTAGACTCGTTGCTTGAGGTAGTTTCCGTCCCTTGTCATAAAGATGTTTATCGACCAGACATGTCCTTCCAGGAATTCAAGGTGACTGCAGGAGAGAGTGGTTTAAATGAAGAAAAGAAAGAAAACAAGATTAAAGAGGCAGATGGAGTGAGAGAGGGTCAGGCAGAGTTAGTTAGACCAATGCCTGGGCCGCCTGCAGAATCTGTCTGAGATTCTGATCACCCAGTGGTAGGTAAGTGGCGGGGACAGGACTCCCTCCCCTGCCACACCTGTCCAACCTGAGGGGTGTAAGGTGTTTCAGAGCCACCACAGAGCAAGCCCCCTCCTCTCCTTTCCCTTTACCCCACTCCGCCACAAGGAACTGGGAACTTCCGCATAGCTAAGGCCTGACCTCCCTTTGTTAGTGACTCTCTGCCTAGTTAAGGTCTTTCTGCCCCACTGGTTTCGTGGTCAGATGTTACTGTAACATAGGGGCTTCCCGAACCCCCCCCCC